TTATAATTTTGTTCAGTGTATGTAAAACCTGAATGGTAGGAGTGTGCAGGGTGCGAACTACATAGGAGCCAGTGGGAGCTGGACTCCTCTTAATAAGACACAACCTCCTCTGAGAACATGATTTATATGTTTATCGTCATGGATTATGCATAACTTGGGCTACAATTCAGATCAGAGAAGACAAATAAAAGAAACTTTCCTAGTCTCAGTCACTCTGTGTGTCAAAGATTTGTCATGATACCGCTTTACTTAATAGCTGATCAAACAGATCTTACAGATAGCTAAACTTCTGTCCAACTTTATTCCTTCTTACAGAATCCAAATGGTTTCCAAACTTTCGATTTTAGATTTGAGGGTGCACTCTAAATTGTGTCGTGTTCTCGGACATGTTTGTTTATGTACCAACCCTTTGCAAGCCACGATGCGTTAACGTCACTCATCGCAAGACCCTCATGTTGAACTTTTATGTTGATCTTTGAGGGAAAGCAGAGCTCGAGAAGACACTGAAGCTGCTTTTGTATTTTAGACACTTTGTTGCACAATCTGCTTTAATTAATCTCCTCTGTTAATGTATAGACCACAGTCATGATTGGCACTAGTGACAACATAAGATAAAATGATGTACTGTGTTAGTATTAGTGTTTTTCTCTGGGAAGGACGTATGAAAGTATCCAAGTGGCTATTATGATGGAAGGAAAACTAGTCAACCGAAGAGAGAAACACTGAATCTCTGAGTTACTCTAGTGTGGGCTGGTTCACTTGACTTTCTCAACGGGCCTCCTGCTTTATCTGAATATATAAGGACAGGTCTGAAAGTGCACACAAGTCTTCTGAGACCAGTCTTTGCTCTTAATTTAAATCTATGACTCTTCTATTATAAACACCCCGCAAAAATGACCTGTTATTTTAATGACATTTTCCTTGTTATGCTGCTCTGCATTATTCTTCCCAGTTTTTTAACAGATGAAGCCAGACATTTAAACTGTAAGTAAATCTTCTAATATTAATGCTTTTACTGAAATCTATTTTCAACATTCTGAAATGCTTGATAATGTAGTTGAAGTATAAGCATTGGAAGGATTGATTGCAATACAAACTAATAGCTAATATAGTTTAAAAGCAAATCAATTTTAAACCATGTTTGGTTAATTTTCACTTGCATCTGTTGAGGAATTTGAGAAAGGAGATACAACCATGGACATGTCTGCAGCAAAGTCAAAATTCTTGTGTTTCGTTTAACTTTTTTCTAAACATATCTTATTAAAACAAAAAACACACACATTAGTGGCGAAGACAGCATATTTCTCTTGTTCTCATTTATGTTTTGCTTTAAAGCAAGTCAGTAGTTTCACTGCCAAATCTGACACAGTGATGCAAGTAAACATGCTGCATATAAGGCTCGGGAAGCTCCTGCTCTTGGTTTTGTGTATTGAAAGTAAGGATGCCTCAAATACATGAACATTCTTTACTGACATTTAAAATGCTACATGTAGCACTTGTATAGTGTACAGAAACAAAGGTTCTAAAGTCAAAATACTACTACTATAGAAACACATCAGTATTATCAGCAAAATGTACTAATTCTGCTTGTGAGTGTCTTTGACATTATTAGATTATTACTTTTGCATTATTGTGTAAGTAGGTTTTAACTGTTGGCTGGTCGAGGTGCAGCTAGTTTTAACTACTTTATATACCGCAAGTTGTTTTTTTTTGTATTTGAAAACCATGTAAGAAGTTTAGAGTGGAAATCACTCTTTGGTGGAACTGCTAACCACACAGACATATGGTAAGGGGCAGACCAAAAGGTTAGGAACAACTGCTTTAATATACACCGATCAGCCATAACATTATGAGCACCAATATAATAGGCAGCGTGAGGATTTAAGTGACTTTGACAAGGGCCAAATTGTGACGG